AAATTAGCTCTATGTCAGACTGGTCCGTACGCTTAATCTGCGATGTTTGAAGACCCCGGTTTTTACGAAATTTTTAAGTTCTATCAATAAAAATTAAACTATTGTGACATGGTTTTTGATAAGAAATATTTTGATATACAATAGATGCATATAGAACCATTTATTTTGACAAAAACGTCATTGTCTACGAACTTTCTTGACAACCCTCGTATTTAATACATAAACTTCAGCTGCATTCTGGTGGCCTAGTTTCAAAAATGTAAACACTAATTCACTGTAATGACAGGAAAGCAATTTCAACCATGTGTGGCGCGTCTTCATTTGGTAAAATCAAAAGGTTCTAATTCAAGCTTACAAGTTCGGGTCAAAAAAAAAAACTTTGAAAAGGTTCAATCGGACCTTCCTGTTCACATTTAATTTATTTGCAGATGTGTAGAAAATATTAAGGAATCTTATGTAAAATTCTAAAGTTGGGAATATATTATGACTGTCAGAGAAGTTTTGTGCATTTTTCTTGTACCACTAATTATTTACCAAACAAATCATGTAAAATAAAACTCTTTTGTGTTTTAAGAAGCGGATAATAAAACTCTTCACGAAATGTTGTATTAATACCTTTTCCAGATATAGTGACAGCTGTATTGTAACATCTGATTGGACCTAATTGAAACCTTGGACCTAATTTTTTTTATATTCCCTGAAATTAAAATGAACTCTTACCTATTGCGTTTCTTGCAATGTAAAACATTCCAAATAAAACCAGACTCCAATACATCCTTTCAATCATATTTAACTGTGTAATCAAGGCCAATAAACTTTATTCAATTTAACATCATTTTCTGTATATATTCTCTGGGAGGAAAATAAAAAGTTTTCATATATATGTAATATATTCGAATCAACAAGGATGTGATTGAGTATTAAGAGGAGCACTTGTGTAAGTAGTAAGTTTAATATATCTAACACATGTTGCTCTTAATTTTTCGCAAATTGTTTTGCTATTTTCACCCATGAAGAGTTTAAAGTAATACTTCCGTATCATAATAATTCAAAACACATTTCATAATATTTTTGTTGTTATATCAATGATCATAGCATTCAGATTGCAATATGGCCGTGGTTGATATCAAATAGTTTACCGTTAATTCTTTCACCCTCGTCCAAAAATGCTTTAAATTCTTCAAGTTTTACGAATTAAATGTCTTTAAATAAAACATTATACTTAGGAACTAACCTAGTTAAACTTTTTAATTTTGGTTATGGTAATTACCTTATCTAGTAAATACCGCCTTTTTTAAAATGTACAGTTGTACATGTACATGTAACATTGTACATTAGATAATAAATATATAGAATTCTCTTTTATACAAAATTTCAATCACTGTTTAGCTTAAAACAGTCAGTGCTTAATATTCAATCTCCTTAACATGTACGATGTTTCAAACCTCCCTTAAAATACTTTTTAATCAGCTGTACAGCATTGATAATTGTTTGTTTCAAATTTAAAAAAAAGAAAAGTAACAATTACATGTTTTGATGAGTTTGATACATTTGATTAAAGAGGTCCAGTTACAGCAAGTACATGTAGCTATATAGACATCTTCCCAATTCAAAGTTTCTGATCTGCTCCGCTCTACATCAACCCCGTCAAACTTGTTTTATTTGGTCAAGGATTTATCTGGATCAGAAATTCTTGACTTCGTAAGACGCTATATAAAGAGTTATCAAATTATGAAATTTAGTTATGCAATGTATTGAATATTTCATTGATATCTATGCTGTTTACTTCTGCATATTGGATCAATTGCACCCCGATATTAGCAGACCAATTCCTGTATTCATATAAAGCAGAACTTGTGCAAGATCTTATGAGCGAAAGACGAAAGCACTTGCTGTGGCCTTCAATTCACATTTATATATGTGGACCACGTATCGTCATTTAACAATGTTATTTCCCATTCTTATCGATACGATATATCCTGGAGAGAAAGAGATAAGGGGTACAACATACTGGTAGTCTGATACATATATTTCAAACTTGAAAAAAACCGTTAATGGTAATCTAACAAATTAGCTCTTTCATAAACTTGATGACTTAAACTTTTCTGTCATCAGTATTTCTTATTTATGCAGCAAACATATCCTCAGCACCTGCAAACGGAGTTTATACATATCATTTGATTCGATAAGTAAGCGCATGCGTGCTTTACGTATGTACAATTTCTAGAACGGTAAATTATTGTCAAACAAGCTAATGAAACAGGAATTTCAGCTGTCTTGTTTAAAGTCATCAATTCATAAGTTCCTTGGTCGATACAATGGCATTGTCTGCAAATACAGTTTATCATTGAATCAAATGCTGACTGACGTTTTCGTGCTCATTGTTAGTCCATTATTTATACACTGATTTGACGACGTATTTTTCCGTTATTTCTCGATCATGACAGGGAGTGCGCGTCGGGTGTGTCGGGTCGACAGGGGATGCTCATTCCTTCATACACCTGATCCCATCTCTGTTTTGTTTGGAGGTCCATGTTTGATTTGATCCTATTTCGTATTATTTTATGGACATTTGATCTTGTGCAATGTTCGTAATCTCTATATGTTTCTTTGAGAGATTTAAATCCATGTGCAAGTGCTACATGTAAGACCATTGCTACATGAGTAAATCGGGATAATGATTGATATGCTGAACTCATCACGTTTATCATTAGACATTATTGTTAATTTACGATAAGCATTTTTAAACGTTATGTTTAAGTTTTGAAATAGATGCGTTGATTTCTGTTTTTGCCGTTGGAATATATCGTTTTAACATAAGAACAAACAAAATTATTTTGAATTAAAAGCGTGTAGTCCTTATATCTAAATGTCGACATAAGACTGCGTGATATGCAACGATAACAACATTCATCTGAGAGTTTCCTGATTCTGGGGCTTAAAACATAGATATAAATAGTCCATTCAATTATGGAAACGTACTTTGACAAATGGATGTATCAAATGACAGTTCTGTAAATTAATCATACCCAACACATATTTGTAGTTCATTACACTTCATGTTAAATTCTCAAATACTCTATAACTATTAGATTTCCTTGCGCACATCTTATATATAAATTCGAAGGACACCGGAAAAAGATTGCTTTATTAACCAGCATAATTACTGAATAATAATAACAATCTTTGGTAAAAGGAACTTGATCTCATTAGGAATCATATATAGCTACTGTAATGATGTGAATAACCGAGAAACTTTGCTTAACCCAATTATTATCATGCTTAGCCCAATAATTTATCAATATTCGTGCAAATCACGCCTTTGTTTTGACATCTTTACCTGAAATCAGAATTCTTACCTGTACTTCCATCTTTCCTTTTTTTTTCAAGGCACTACCAGGCTAACAAAAATGGCGCAACAAAATCAAGGATTTTGATTGGGTTACTCTGTCAAGAAATTCAAACTTGCGTTTCGCAATGAAATATTATTTGATAATTGCGCTGCGATAAAGGCGCATATCCTGCAGACTGCGCAGAGATATGCGGAATTATCCTAAGGTGTAAAATATATTTCTCATAGCGGCACAAATTGAATTATCTGTGATAATATTGTTTTTCGATTCTGTGAGACTGACTTCTCTAAAAACTACACAGTAATAATAGCAACATATAATCAAATCAAAAGAAACCATGAACTATCACTGGAGGATATTGTAGGGAAAGATAAAAATAAAACTAAACCTAAAAGATAACAAATTAGAACCCCATTTCATTAATTAATTCAAACAACACAAGTAGGACGACTGAAAGGAAACACTGTAATATGCTACGAAGTAATCTACATCTCATATATACATATATTTTCACTTTATCATTCAAAGTAGAATCTGCTGATTACATGTATCTAGGTATTGTTAGCGATCAATACAAAAATTATTACACATTCACGCGATTAATTATCCAGGACAATGGCATTAATCATAATCGCGTCAACCTCATTCTAGACTCTAGCCTTAATTGATGTTATATCCTAACCAGCAAAGGTTTTGGAAGGCAGAGTCCCGAATGACATTGTGCCGATCATGCGTATTTTTCATATACATCAGGATCTTTTTAAATTCTGCAGTGAGAGAATAACCAACTGAATCACTCTTTTACTCCTCTATTGACCAGTGACCAATTATTTCTCAAAGCTATTTTTTTCTCTCCTCTTTAACACTGGTTTGCCCTCAAGTTCTGAGTAATGACCTGTATAAATACTACAGAGAGGACATAAATCGTCGGGATAATTTTCTTTATTGTAACAATCCATAATATGTTTTGAACAACTTCATTCCAAACATAAAATGTTACAAGAAATATAAAACATTATAAAATATATTTTCCTGTAAAGAAAATGAGCCAACTGAAACATTACAATTTGAAACTTAGTTTCTATTAAAAATATGCGCCAATTTATAAAATACCTTACCTGTATAAATAAAACAGAGAAGACACAACTCGTTGGGATCTTTGTCGAGGCATCTTTCTTTGAGTATTTATACTATGCTATGAGTTAGAGCTCCGCCCTGTCCATGTATGTTATTTTATCAAAATTTTCAACTACAATTATCAATTTGCGATCTAAACTTTCACTTACATTTCTGTGCCTCTTTATACTTTTGACTTTTTAAAATACAATTTAGAATTCATAATAAACGTCTTGCAAAACCTTTACGTTTTATCATTTTTGTGGATAATTTACATCAATGGTTGTCCTTTCGCCTGTTACGTACAACGTGTTGTGCCTTTTTCTATTACCAAAATGACTTGATGATAATCAAGTTTCACCACACTCATGCAAACACCCTCACCGCATTTCTCAGGTGAGAAATTCACTCAGCATCTTTTACTTTTTTTTATCTGATACTAGGAAGGAAACATCCCCTCGTGTCCTCTCCTTTCTCTCACACACTAATTTCTTTTATCTTTCTAATTTTATGCAATTTTTGTTATGATACATATATGATTTTTGTAATCCTTGACTTTCTTCTCTTCAGTGTTTTCTAAGTAAAAAAGAATAAAAAATATTTACCTGTCATTGACAACGAATTTCCCAAAAGGATTTTTTGACACTTAGGTTCTAAATTATATTACAGAAAAGAATACTTAACAATGTTTTCATGCTTCAAAAAATCTTCCAATTGTATTTGTATCTCCCCTGTTGTTAACCGATGGTAAAGGACGTTTAGACAACTTTCTTGTGTAGAATATGATATTGTCCCGCGTTTCGATAGTATAGCGGGAAAATGTTTTATTAATGACAAGATGTTTATACGCATGTAGTGTGGATTGGTCAGAGAGTGACCAATACAAATTGAATTTGAGGTGAAGTACGGAACCTGCTTTTAAAGGTTAGTCACTTCTAGCCGCTGACTTAAGTGAGCATCAGCTTAAATTTCGTGATTCATTGATAAAGTGTAAAGGAAATAAATATACATTTTTTTTTAAATTTTCTTAGGTTTTATAGGTTGGTTGTGAAATCCGTCGCAACATTTGTTGCATCCAGCAGCACTTGGCAACGAGCACATGTTTCTAGAGTTTTCTTAATTTTTTTTAATCTCTAGTTTTCCCTGGCTGATCCTGATGCTTTTCTTAAGTTTTTCCACACGGTATATTATAGAATTATAATAGATGCAGCAGTTTTCGTGAATTTTTATGTCTTATTTCTTCATAAACAATGTCCTGTATTATATATATTGATGTATTGTCTAGTGGAGAGTGTCAATAAAATACGGCGTCCAGCGCAAACACGTCTGTCTATCATGCATAGCATGTTGTTGTTATTGTTTATTGTTGTATAAAAGTAATTGAGTGAATACTACTTTTTATTTTTTTTTAAATGATTCCCTTTTTTCCCAAACAGAATTTCATCTTGACCCGAATTAACACATTTCTTCAACAACCTCTGCACTTGAAGAGAAATGTTGTGGGGGAAAATCTCATACTCTCATATCAAATGATATTCTTACAAATTCACCATATTAAACATAATAACTTACACATTTCTATCGCCAACCACCCTTACGTCTTAAGCAATATATCCTTTTCTCCATAATATTGAGTATAAGTCTCCCAATTCATTCGATAAGTAAATATACTATATTTTGACTTCGAGGGATCAAGAGTTTCGACAGATCAAGAGTTCGAGAAATCAAGAGTAGATTTGCTTGGTTGTATAGAAGAAACATTCGTGACCGAAGACTCACTTCGAGCGATCAAGAATTTCGAGAGATCATAGTTCGAGTCATCAGGAGTTACCTGTATGTTCAAACATTTCCTAAAGTTTGGTATACTATTGACAAACAAGTTTACTAATAAACAGCATTATCAGCCTCAATTAAAGTTCATTACATGCTAATTCTATGGTAAATACAATGAACTTGTGGGAAAAAAACAATCTATTGATAAAATGAATGATCAGTTACGTTTTTTTATACTAATTGCTGAAGTATTATTGTTTATGGATTTCTACGTTGTCTGATTATGAAATGGAGTAAAGGGCTAGTGTGACAGGTTTACATGAAAGCTTTCTTTTCTATCACACCTTATCCAACCTCTGGTATTGCTAGAGATCCTTGACTGCTTTTCTGTAGCCTTTTTCACAAACCAATTTTTTGGGTATCTCTTACGATAAATCTAAAATGCTTTTCACGAACGCATTTGTAGCAGATTGCGCAAAAGCTTTTACTTATGACAGACTTTGTTCTTAAATAAGCGGGTAAAAAAGGAATAAATTTCTCATCATTTCGCATTAGAACATATCTTATTGACGATAAAAGAACAAGTGCAATCAATTGTGAAGAAAGACGTTTGAAATCTAGCAGTTAATTTTCACTAATAAAAGTTGACGAAATTTTACATTTCCAGTCGTTAATGATTTAAAATCAAATAATACGAAAATAATTTTAATTCTTTGTCAAATTATTCGCAATTATAACCTGTTTTCGGTCAGTTTACGCGTAAACTGACCCGAACCAGGTTATATCCGAGTAATTTGATTAATATTAAGAGTCATTCATAAATTATTAAACGGTATTTTACCTGGCTTTATGATCTTCAACATTTTTGGGTTTGAAGAACAGTTGATTCTATTACAACTCACGAGTTGGTACCAGTACTGCTGTCCTGGGGTCAAAGGTCTTAGATAATAATATACCACGCTACCCTCACCAGGGTCCGTTAGATTCGCAACTTGTGTCCAGCTGGAGCCTTGTTTTTGTGATAATATAAAGAATTGTTCTGGTCCTCCATTAAAGTTAGATACCCACGTAAGATTGATGTATCCGCCGGCATAAGAACTCCAGGTAAAGTTCAAAGGTGGATGAGGTATATCTTTAAAATTATAGCGAAAAAAAGTATGACAACTGTACTTTCAACAGTGAAGTGTAATCCTTATTCTAAAACAAATAGATCTTATAGATCAAGAGAAGAGATATAGTCTTGCTAGCTAATGTTCTGAAAAAAATCGAGATATTTGTCAAATATTCCTTAAAACAAATTAATACAAATAAGACATTTGGCCCTCATGCCTACAGAAACTAAAACTCAATAAACTGAAAATTATTTAAAAATGTCATATCCATTTAAAGGTCTACTAGCTATAGTATGACAAAAAGAAAGCTATGAATTTTACCTTCCAGACTGATTTCAATATTGACTATAGCTTTTCCATTGTGCATCAGGGAGTAGTTTCCAAAGGAACTGCTGTCAGGAACAGGGATAGAGCTGATAATCCATTGTTTGTAGGCAAAGTTCTCTCTGTTAGAAACCTTAGTATTAATTGATGGAGAATTGGGTCCAGACCAAACAATGTCTGTATGAGAGACTGGTGGATTAGCTAACACAGGCACAGACACGGTAACCCTCTCCCCAGGACCACTCGCTGAACCATAATAGGATTTGAAAGACAAGGAAGTGTCAAGCTGAAGATCACCTTTGTAACATGTAAAAAAGAAGTAATTGTTATTCACTGATATAATTTTCTAACAAATTCAAAAAGGTCAACTGAGGTATCTATTGTGTTATATTATAACTTCAGGGTGGGTGTAGAGAATAATAAAAACTTAAATATTGTAAGGATAAATTAATGCTTGAGTATTTGATCTTTCTTATAATCAGCATCTCTTTTGTACTCTCATTTTATTACAAAAAACTGTCGTACTGCTGTTTTTTTTTATGTTAATTATGTATAGTTTTTAAATTTAACTTTCAATCCCTTACGGGAAGTTGAATACAATAGCGATTGATCTAACGAAATCTACAAACATTACGAATCTACACAGACTCCAAGCATTCCAAATGTGAGTAAGACGCATAGAAGGAGTGAACATCCCCTGGAAACTGATCACAAACACAGTCAGCTCAACAGTATAAAAAGAAAGGCCTAACAATTGATTTTTTGCCATAGTTTTCACTTGATTGATATATCTTACTTCGATAGACATGCAATGAAATATTATTCTATATCAAATGATGTAGTATATAAAATGATAAAATACTAACATTTAACGTTGACAGTAAATAACCGGTCCTTTCGTCCGAATTCTGCAGATTGACCTTCGCAGGTGTAATTTCCCGTGTCAGAATATTGAGCTCTTCCTACGTCAGTGTAGTTCAACCAGCTTTGAGGAACTGTCTTTAAAATTTTGTTTCTACTAACTTTTCTTAATGTGACAATTGGGGTAGGATTTCCAGCCGCAAAACAAGACAGTCCCAGAGGATCCCTTTCTTTCAAATCTACTGCTTCTTGCATTTTACCATTAATATATATCTTTGGGACTGATAAATCTGTATAAAAGATTTTGATTATAGACATAGATATCCAGTGAAATGTTTGACTTCAAAAATATAGAAATTTGCAGTATCGAGCTGTGATCTTCAAAAATTCATGTAGTTGTTAAATGTCAGTTGCAAATGGAGTTTACTAAATGTTACTTTTAAGTGATCACTATCATTTTAAAAAATCATTTTTAGGCTAATTCATATCGCAAATATATCATAAATCAGCATCTTTACCTTGTTTTAAGCAAAGGTATGGAACAATATAGAAGATGAAATATTGAGACTAACAAAACACCTTGCCTAAATTTAACATACTAAGAAAAATTACTTGTTTCTAGAAATATAACTAGATTTAGTTCTTTGGCTTAAAAATCCTAATATTAGGGATGTTTCCAGCATTGCGTGTGATTGTCTTAAGCAGTTTAAAATGTTTAATTATTTTGTTTCAGCTGTTGATGGCATGATGACAATATCTATAGTTTTATTTACAAAAATAATTTAAAAGATCCTATATATTTACAGAAAATAAAAATCGTTATTTTCAATTATTTGTTGGTGTTATAAACCTCAAAATATTTTACAAATTAAGAAATAAGAAAAGATTTTCTTTAAACTAAAACTTTGGTTAAAATCCAATCTTTAAAATTGTTTGTCATGTGTCTTGGGCTTGTTGTCTTTGGTTAAGTCGAGATAAGCCAAAATATTCCTTGTCATTTATTTGACAACAATTTTTTTCAAAGTGTTATTCTCTCCACTTTTATGCATGGCGTGATATGAAAGAGTTTATTTATTTTATAAAATAAAAGCATTCAATTCATTTCAAGTACTTAGCTAGTGGCAAACACGTTTTTGTTTAGTAATATTTTTCAAAATTAACATACATCGGATATCTAAGGTGATGTTGTACTTCTTAATTCCCTCAACGCCCCTAGCTTCACATTGAATCCCTGTCATTATAGTTCTGTTTGCTGTTTGTTCTGGTAACATAACTACTTCATTACTGATTGAGGAAGCATTCTTTACGTAACCCTCTAAAGGTGTTAAATACTTCCATTGGATACTACATGCTGGGTTGCAGTCCGCTGAGCAATTGAAAGGACCAAATTCTTTTCCATCATGAATACTTAGTGTGGCTGTCAGTGGTTCTGGAGATAAAGCAATAGTTTCTGGACCATCTGTTTAAATACAAGAGAGAACGTTTCTTAATTTTTGTTCGATGTTGCATAATGTAAAATGGTACTATTTTTAGCTTTTATGCTATTTGATTTTTGTACAAGGTAGCGTGCATTTGATTTAGCGCATTTTTAAATTTCTTATTTCTCTATGAATGTGCAAAACACTTAGCATTTGACTTGAATTAGCAGATATTCTCTCAGCCAAAAGCGCTAAAAAATATACACAGGCAAACTTAATGCGTACACAGTATAAATATAAAAAATGTTAACATTGGACATTCATTTCCTAAAGATATCTTTATTCTTAAAGAAATGATTATAATCAGGTTTATCTTCAATTAGAAGCATAATTTTTTTCCGCAACGTGTTGTGGAAATAAGTCTGAGGATAGTTTAAGCTTTTTCCTGTTTTCTAGCAATGATTGCTACCAAGAAAGATGAACCGTACAACATTCAGGTCTGACAATATGAATTACTGTAAGTCGTTTTAATTCCACGGTGTTAAAATTTAATGATTTCTCAAAAAATTCAAACCGCGATGGTTTTAATTTCACGCTCTAAGAAAATTTCTCATAATCATTTAAACGTTTTAATAGCTAATGATAGCTTTCACGATGGGTTTATTTTCGCTGAAAAACGATGAATCGCGAACATAGCGAAATTAAACCATCGAGATTATTTGCAAATTTACAGTATTTCTTTTAACTCTTTTACAAAATGTTCCTTAGATTGCTCCTGAGTAATAAGCAATGATAATATCTTCTTTTTTTTTTACTGGAAAAAGAATTGATATCCGGTTTTTATGCTATTGAAAAGCTGCTACTGTATTACATTTTTAATCACATTGCATCATATACTCACTCAAACTATATCAAACAATTTTAATAATAAACCATAATAATCACTTACACAAAGGATTTATCAGCACTTTGTCACTTCTTGCTGACTCTAGTTTTTCTCTCGCCTGACAGCTGTAGTGGTTGTACTTCTCGGCTCTAGTGACCAAAAGCCTGTACGTCTTCTGTGTTTGTTCTTTAAGTTTCGTGTCGTTAACGTACCACATATAGGATAATGGCGGTAACTTCTTGTAATACTGAGGCACAGAGGTCGATCTACTGTCACATTCCAGTGAGGCTGTTTTCCCTACTGTTTGATTTGAGGGTCTTCTTATAACAGGTTTTGTTGGCTTCTCTACACGAATATTCAAAATATTATCAAAAATACCATTCCGAAAAAAAACTATATCAAAGAGATAAACCGTGAAACTATAAATCGCTAATTTTAATGGCGATTGTCTTTATTATTTTCGTGGAAGGTAGAGAGCTACGAGTTCATTTAAGCTGCGAAACGTTAAAATTTGATTAAAATTTTAATACTCTATTATATCTCTTATTTCTTTAATGATGAAATTGAATCCCCTGGAATTAATTTATTTTCCTCAAATAAATAATATATTTGACCGTACAAAAACATTAGTGAATTTATGTCATGTACACTATCAATATCTATTTATCAAACATCAAATATAATATATAATTAACTATGAAGATGTATGTCTATAAAAGTAAAGAAGTTGTGGAGAAAAACTTTTATAATTTACCTAAAACAACGAGAACTACACCTACACCATCACCAGACCACTCATCAGCCGTGTAGAACCCTGCATCTCCTACTGTTATATTCCTCACCTTAAATAAAATGTTCGTAGAATCCAAGGGTCTGCTGTGGTATACATACTTTTGACTGGATGGAGCTGGACCATTCTTATTCACCCTTATAATATTTGATTTCGAGCCGTTGTGTTCATGGACAATAGTGTAAACTCCACTATGAGGGAAGAATGCAGCTGTCCATGATATATTTTGTGAATCTCCCACTTTAGATTCGACTGCATTGACTGAAATGAAGAATAACTGAGTTGGGGCAAGATTGTTATATGCTGAAAAAAAATGAGCAATACTTAGCTAAATAAATATATGTGATATTTAAAACTTCAAGATACAAGCCGTATGAACTAGCTGAGTGCCTAAAAGTTATACTGTATATGCATGTTTATGATCCTTTATTACAAGTATCTGATAAAAGTCAAAATAAATTGCATTTGTAATGCAGCTATTGGGAATTTTATTATTTTGGTATGAATAAATTTCAATCTAAAATTTTTTAGAGTGATAGTCGAATTAATTCTACAAGCATATTATACATATACTACATGGCTTCAAGGGCAGCATACCAGAATATTTGCCCCAAGGTGACAGGAAAGCCCTGGAGTGTTATGTCGCCCGATGCCGCAGGCAGAGGGCGACATAACACTTCAGGGCTTTCCTGTCACCGAGGGGTAAATATTCTGGTATTGCTGCCCAAGAATTAAGCCACGTAATATATGGTATATAACATTTTTAAACATTGAACAAAAATCGATCATCGAACATATTTATTAAACACCATGTACACATATGTGAGAATAATTCCAAAATATCCCGTCCTAGCGGTTTCATGGCAGAATGTTTTCAGTATGCTGACACTTGTGTTGATAACCTTTGTTGTATTTAAAGAATTTTTCTCTTCAATTAAATTATCTAATTCCTCTGAATCCAAATAAACAAATCAGATACGTTGTCTCGGCTTTTTAACTTTCGCGGAACTGTTTACATTTGCTTGGCAACTGCCTCTGTGAGTTTCGAATCCGACGTAATTAATATGCAGAATGATTGCACGCGAGGGAACATAACTGTGTTTGGGAGGGCATCATAACTGTTTCCGGGGAACATAACTGTATCCGGTGTGATTCGGCAGTTTTTCAGGGCATATGAATAAAAATATTTTATTTGTGATATAATGGGAAAGCTTCCTCAAAAATGTTATATATAGAGAATATTACATACTAAAATCCATATCATATGTCATATCAGCCCGAGTGGCCCCATATCAGCCCGAGGGCCGGAGGCCCGAGGGCTGATATGGGGCCCGAGGGCTGATGTGACATATGATATGGATTTTAGTATGTAGTATTCTATTTATCATATATTTAAAATACTTAATATGCGAGTTCACATATGGTCGTTGAAGAATGTTTGTGCTTGATAGTGACATTTTTTCTTTAAAATTTTATAGAGACAATTTTAGGTAACTGGAAAAAAATTAAGACCACAAATGTCATTAAAGAATTATTTTATCTGAATATTTAAATAAAATCAAGTAAATTAACTTTTTAACTTAATACAAACGTTACTTCCGGTTTGATATGGATTTTCGGCCCACCGGTCCGATACGTGATATGGCTTTTCGGACCGGTCCGTGATATGGGGTATTGTGACGTCACCCGTATCACACCGTGCAGAATCGGTGTATTTACTACTAAGTATATGATAAAAATTCATATTTAACTTCCCCACTACGCCATTTTTTGCCTTTGACGTAAGGAGAAGATAAAATCAATTATTTTTACTTTAGTGATTGGAAAACTACTATTTTATACTAACCACGATAAGTATTTTCATGATCTTCAAAATTATTACGATTGGAAGATCTGTAACGTCGAACCTGGATCTTCACCGATTTATACTTTGTGACATCCTCTAATGTGTAATTGTTATCAGAAGTTTTAATCCAGGAATATGCTAGATTTGTGTCCTTGCTGATTTGTAGATCATAAGAGTGTACAGAAGTATTGGGCCATGTAATATACAGATCCCCATTCCAAAATTTTGTCGTTATTTTAAAGGGCTCTCCTGAAAAAAATAAAATATACTTCTTTTGATTAAAACAACAAAAGAAAGAAAAGAAAGAGGGCGTATAAGGCGTGTGCATTCCCTCGCTCTGAGGGAATATGTTCTCAATTTTCAAAATTCACAAAAAGTTATATTTTTCTAAAATCATGTTCTCAGTTATGTCATCTTCAAAACATTTTATTATTTTTTTTTATTTTATTGAACGACTTATCATTTGATAATTTTGATTTCAAAGTTGACAGTTGAGCACATTTAGTTTAAAATAGGTTCACCGGAGCTATAAAAACGAATTTTGAACATGAATGGGTCAAGTCTCCATTCTTCGTGAACGCTTAAATGATTGAAACGTAAATGTGAAGTCTATTTCATCTGTCTAAAAAATTGACTCTGAACCAATTCTATATGAATCGAACTTTTCTGAGAAAAATTACGCTTCAAAAAGCCCGTTCATTTAAATCACACTGAAAGAAGTCAATAATGCATATACGTCGTAGCGTAGTGGTTCAAGCGGTTGTTCTTGGACCAAACCTGATCTATGGAGAGAGTTCAGATCATACATGAAGCTTTTTCTTTTTGTGTTTTCAAATGTTTTAAAACCATGAGTGAAAAAAAATATTAACAAATTATTTCAGCAGTGAAATACAGAATTTGATATGTAAAAGACTATATAAACCATAATTTTTTGAAAAAATACTACTTTTAGAATTGAGAATTTTTTTTTTCTGAGCGGGTGTTTTTTTTTAATTCTGACGCATCATAAGCATCATAAGAAAAAAATTATAGGTCAAGACTTTTTATCGTTAAAAAGAAAACCGAGCTCTTTTTTTTTGTTTCATTGATAGCATCACTCATGGATGTTGTTATTATAGATGATTTTGGTTTTAAACTTGTACGTCAAACAGATAAGATTTGTTGCGGATAGCTGCAGCAAAGGTGAAGATTATCAACTGAAATTATCCAGATTCAAATTCATATACTTCTGTTAATGTACTTTTTGATTAATTATATACAATTCTTTCTATCTGTATATTTAGTATTTTTTATTTTACAAAAGTGTACATTATTTTACAATGACATGGACGTATGAAAACCAATTAAAACTTTCATTGAATATAACAAACTTTATATTCTAAGGACAAGTGGAAACATGTAAAGCTCTCGTAACTTTTAACAAATACTCTATTCCTTGTTTAAAAGAATGTATATTGCATATTTTATTATAACTGTAATTAAATGCATATTAACTACCGTGAAACAATTTTACATGTATACAAATTGATATACTGAAATATAATATGATCTTTATATTAATTTCTAGAATAAGGCTGTTGTGACATCCTTCGCAATTCATGACACTTTCTGCAGATATTCATTTGAACATAGCGTCATAATGTCTGCATACAATTTTAGTAATAAACTTAAATTTTGCACATTACTTAAGTAAAATATAAATACTTTTCTATAACCGCTGACATGTAGTTGCTTTTACCAATATGACTGGGTAAAAAATTATTTAAATTTTGTTTACTAAGTGTTCTTATGGAAAGAATGCAAACTAATTTGATGCATCATAGATGAATGCAAGATAAATTAATTCGCTTTCAGTTATTTATGTGAATTCGGTTCAAATATAACTCGCAGTTACTTACGCTTAATTCTGTCAGTCTGTCGTTGTATTCGAAATTAACTCCCTAGGAGTATAATAAGGAAATGATATATCGATGACTGTAAACATTGCATTTATACAGAAAACACTATGCAAGAAAATTAACAATTATGATAAAAAGCTTGGTAAATTACACATACATAATAAGCGCGCGTGGTGCAGTGGTTAGAGCGTATGCTCTAAAGTCGCGAGGTAGGGAATTGATTCTTACATAGCATGCTCGAATCCCACCGTTGGACGTGGAGACCGCTTCGTCTGATGTTCCGTGTCAAAGTTACGCAGCACAGTTAAGGTTACAAAAAGGAGGCGGAGCCTAATTTGTACGGGAAAACTTGACTATGACATCATACACAATATACGTCATACAACATTTCTTTAAAATATCACAAAATGAGTTTATCTGCTAATTTAACCAGTAAGAAATCATCAAACTACATAAAAACTTACCACAGCGTGTTGTTTTGTCGTTAGTTAAATCCCACATAACAAGTTATAAACAAGTCACTGATCGCAATACCCTTGTCAATATGACGTCATTTCTTACAACGTGACGTAGTTTGTATGCAGTGAGAGACAGATCAAGTAATATTTTCTCAACAAAATATGCATTCTCTAATTAAATAAAATATTATTTACAGATATTCTATGGGGCAATTACTTGAATTTAACGTCTTCTTCACTATTTTATTAATATATTTTCTGTACATTACGTATTTAACTGACACTGCCGTATATTTGTATGCAAGTACATCGGAGGGTAATGTGGGGGGTCTTAATAAATCGATCTAGTGCAAGGGCATACACTCTATGGATCAAAGTAAGCTTTTATATTTCAACTATAGAACTATTCAGGTATCTGAAAAGTGCTGCGATCCTGATGAAATCTTAAAAATAATTTAATTATATCAATATTTCATGCCGCTGACCAGCAAAAAATATAGCATTCGGTCATACAAGTATAATTTTAACAATGAAATTGCAGAATTTAGACAGGATCGCAGCACTTTTTAGAAACTATAATGCGTGTTGAAAATATTTATATACTAAACTTGGAAATTTATCTTGGTTATGCCCTTGCACTAGTGACTTTTATATGTAACAGCAATACTTCAAGTCAATGTGCTAAAATCGCGTGACTGCCGCATCACGTGACTAGTCTAAATATAAAATATAATCGTCCTCGATATGTAGTTATTAATCATAATTACAATTATCTGATATAAATAATGTACTAAAAATAATCGCCATCCCGATTACGAATACATTTTTAAATACAAAATTTAGCTGATATTTCCATTGCGCACCTTAACTGTGCTGCGTAGTGCTAGCACGAAAAAATCCTTCCCTGCTCAATGGCCCTAAGTGCCAAGTAAAGCATACATGTATATGAAATTTGAAGTTCTTTCCACTGACAAGTGGTAGCGTCTCCATAAGAGTGAAAAATAGGTACGTTTAAAACAAACAAACACATACATTATAAAGGGATGTTCATGGAATTTCTGAATCAAATCTCACTCATTTTCCGTCATTGAATAAATCTTTATTTGGTGTTGCAAATTAGCTTAATCTGACCTCATTAAAACGTCAGACACCTTTGTATGATATTTGTAATTATGTTTTATATATGATCTATATTTCAAAAATCAAATCAATTTTGTCACCATTATATCAACATATGCATTTCAAGATATTGTTAATGTAAAGTGTCCCTAAAAAGGGGCATTGTGATATATTGTTTATCATACAGGTACTAAATCCTTACACTTGATCCCACCTACGATGTTTTGGAGGTCAGTGTTTGCTCCTGCCCTATTTTGTATTGTTTAATGGTTTTTTGATCTTGATTACTGTTTGTTATCTCCATATATTTCATCTTTTTCTATAGTTTTATATAGTCTTATTTTGATTTAGAAGTTGTTACTACCTAGAACATGTTCTTAGGTTCATGATTATCTGGAAAACATAAATACATATGCAGTTTGTGAATGCATTCTGTTCAATAAATAAAAGTAATGTACGATATAAGCGATGAGGTCAAACTAATATGCGATTTTAAAATAAGTTCCTTCCTTCCTATTAATAAGGAAAAAGTTAAAATTGCCTCCCGGAAATAAAGGAAAATACATGTATATATTCATAAATTTAACACACTTTAATTTTTAATTTCTTTTATACCAAAATCACCAATAAAGGCGTATGAGAAGATCATGATTTGAATTCGTTGATATATTGTTCCAATTTTATTCCGTTTCCACTTTCTATATACCCAACCGTTCACGGTAGCTCAGTCGCTCCATGATCGGGAGGTAGTGAGTTTGTATCTCGGCCGCGACTGACCTTAATCGATAAAAATGGGTAGCAACTTCTTCGAAGACCATAAATACCGAGGCCCCGTGTCAGCGGCAGGCGTTGGCACGATTAAGATCTCTCACTGTTCAATGGCCCTGAGTGCCGTGTAAAGGTCAAAATTTGAAGCCCTTCACCGGCATACAGTGACGTCTCCACGTGAGTGAAAAATTCTCGAGAGGGACGATTGTATAAACAATGTACAATCAATCAATCCATAAACACAAGAAACAAAGAAAAAAACGTGTGCTTTTCGAAATAATTTGCTCTCTGGCAGTAATATTTCATCTAGAAGGATGAATTAGATAATAATAGTATGACGTAACGTCAGGAATTGCTACTAATAGTAAATAATCCGTTTTCAGCTTACATTTTTAGTACAGTCTTGATAATAAACATGTAGTGTTTAATATGAAAATAAAGCAATTTTTTCTCACCAATAATGTTGTAACAAAAAGAAGCATTATTACAAGGTATGTACACATTGACAGTCTACTATATTCCGGAATAACGTCAATTTTCGCCTTGTCCCGTTGTAACAGAAAAATACTTTCAACAAAGTTTATTCTAGAAAAAAAGTTGAAAAATCTCCTCGCATCTCTTTGATATTTTACAGGATCGTTCATTTGCATCATATTTAGACATTATATGTTTGTTGACAACCTCTGTTAAGAGAAAAGACACCCACATTCTTTGAAATAAAAGTCCTTTAAGATGTCCCATTAATGGAAATTTAGTGTATCGCATTTTCCATGGTGAAAAAAGAAAATTTTGACGGTAAAATTTTCAAATATGAATTGACATACAACGAGTACTTTTAAACAACAACTTGTTCCAAAAAGATAACGAAAATTTTCCATGCGCTAAGGTATTTAATCAAACATAATCCGTGTCTTGCAGATATGTCCCCCTGCGTTAATGACGCCATGTCAAATATATATTGGTTAATAGCTTGTTGATTTATTCCGAATTCAAGAGGTAATATTTA